AAATATATTTAACTAAAACTTTTTCTTATTTTGCCAATCAATGCAAATTTCAGCACTACTTATGCATATTAAAGTGTACATATAAAGCACAAAACTACACATTCAATTCCATTGTTAATTTAAAAGCAAAAGTTGTTGGCAACGCATGGAAATTTGGAATGAGTCGGTCGCTGCAGTGTGGCCAAGTGGCGCGAGTCATTGCCCTCGGTGTGTTAAACTAGTGTGTAATAAAAATACTCGCTTACTTACTAATATAAATGCATATAGATAAACAGTTATGTACACATATACATATGTACATAGTTGTAAATACAAATAAATAAGTGTGTGTGTTTTAGCGCTTGCACTGCTGCAAACCTCGTCCTTTTGTGTCGTCTAATGCTAAATAGCGCCTTTTCGCGCAAACAAAAGCGTTTCTCACACATGCATACATACATGTTTAGCTAAGCACACATGTGTACATATACCATATTATACATAATAATACATATTTACTAAATTTTCAGTCAGTCATTCAACCAAGCGCCCAACCCATGGGGCTAATCAAGCAGCTGGCTAACAAAACGGACGCTTAACTGCACATTTTTACATACATGCAGACAAACTTACTTATGCATGTGTCTGTATGTAAGTATGTACCCACTCAACCTTTGCGTTTGGCCTTACCTTTTAATTCATATTGTACGAACTAGCTTTGTAGCGTCAAGTATATGTATGTATGTACTATGTTTGTATGCACCAATGGGTAGGTATATGTGTAGCTAGAATAGTAATAAACAGCTACAAACAATATCAGCACAGTCGCGTCGCGTCAATAAGGTTCTCTTGAGAAAACATATGCTTTACCTCCATTCGCAGGATTCACCGGCACACATACACAAGCGTACATATGCATGTATGTATGTGTAAGCGTTATTTTTCCCAATTCGACATGGATCTACATATTTAATTTCCTATAAGGTTTTTATTTTTGTCTTTTCGTTGATTTACTACGCTGCTGTCACACACTTATTTTCGCTTCTTTTCCTATTTTCCCGAAATTTGTTACGATTTTATTTTGTATATATTTTTTTATTTCGATACAAAGTTTATAAAGCACATACATACATATCTTCATACATACAATATCGACATACATACATGCACATATATACCTACACATATTATATTTACGAGCGCGTGAATGCCCACAAAGGAGCAAGGATAACTATAGCACACCTTTGTTTTTGTACGCCCTTGCCGTCTATTCTAACATTTACACCTTTCTTACTCTCTTTCTTTCCCTTACAACTCCGCCAATTCGGTCGTGGTATGATTCGGTATAATGTTAATCCGTGAACTTTTTGCCACGTGTGGAACTCAATGAAAGTTCGTTTGAATAATTTATTTATATTTAAATGTTTTATTCTTGTCTTCGATTAAATGAGTCAGCCTTGCTCAATGTGTGCGTATTCCAAATGCATGGTACTGATATGCTAGTAATTGAAAATTATTTGAAACATATTATGGCATTGATTCAATAATTCGTACATATGTATATTACACATAGGATCGTCTTCGAATCGTTACTTTTCTGCTTGCTTGCTATCTTCTAACTCCACTTACTAGTAAAAAATTTACAAGTGAAAGCGCCGTTACCCAGTGGTAGACAATACAAGAGAGTACCAAAATTGTAAAAATGTGCTTGCCATTTTATTTCCACTTGTTTATGCCAGTCCATGTGAGTATAATATGAATATAAATCCTCTTGCGTCGACAAAGTGCTTTCAACCCATCACAAATCAGTTTAAATGATTGCTTTAAATTAGATACCAGTAATGGCAACTGTGGTATCGCAAAAGCTGAACAGCGGAGCAGGTAGTTTTGAGATGTTTCCAACTCATTTTCTTCCAAACAACGTCAACTACTAATATCCTACACGAGTTTTATCAGTCAAGAACCGAACTGTTGAATGGGTACAAGGATATACCAGAAAACATATATCGAGGTTGCATGGGGAGGTAAAATATTGTTGAAAGACGAGAATAAAATTTTAAATTAATTACCATAATTTCGATAAAACTATGAAATGGGTAAATTTTTTTATTTCCTTATAAGATCGGATTGAAAAATCATGGATTAATTGAAATGTCTACAAGGTTCTGTTATTGAATGAAGATATAATTTAAGTTTTATAGAAGCTCTACTTCTTACATTGACATGATGTTCTCCTCTATGTATCATTATATACATACATATGTAAGTACGTATGTACATACATCACAATATTCATTCAATCAATTGCAAACAGACAGTAATTCAATTAATTACATTGCTTTTCAGATTAATTACATTCGAGCAAATAAATCAACTCAAGAAACTCAAATTGCTAATACAAATACACGGTAAATGGCTTATGACCAGTAACAGAGTCACAGAGTCGGTCAAAGCAGCTTTACTGGTATTAATTTCAATATTTCAGCTCAACCCTTTCGCTGGCAACACACAAACACCCAATATCGGAGGCCAAAACAAATCCTTATTGACAACTTAATAGCTCAATAGCACTGCAATGGCGGACAATAGCTGGAGGATGGCAGGTGGGGGCGTTGAAAGATTAAAGCTATGTGTAAAGTGGTGTGAGTCTCGAAAAGTTTCGCTGGAGGAGCGTACGCTGCAGCAAATTGAATGTCAACCAAGTAAATGAAGTGCTTGCGCGTTGAGAGAATAATGACGCCGTCAACGTTGCTGCCGACGTCGCTTTAATAAATTACGCGATCACGTGCCGTGTAGCGGCTTTGCCAATACAAACAATAAAAAAAAAGTATAAGAGTATGTAAAACCCCCAAAAAGTAAAAGAAAACAGCTTATTGATGACACGAATGGCATTTTATTTGCAATTGTAGCGCTCAAACGTACGAATCCCCCCGATCATCGCTGACCATTTGTGCCTTGTCGAACAAATATTTTGACAATTAGCGGTCAATCGTGCGTGCGCTCGTCGAAGCCTGTCACTAATACATACATAGCGGCTGTTGTTGCTTTTGTTTTTGCACAGGTTTGTCCTTTTTCGGTAATTGCTGTCGCACATCCTGTCGCTGTGCCCCGCTGCACTTACGCTTACAGTCCAGCAAATCTCCGGCACGTGGCGCCTGCGTGCCGCTTAATTTTCAAAGTCAATAAAAATTATAGGAAAACATTTTTAAAACAAACCAAAAAAAAAAATGTCATCACACATTTCACATTCTTAGCGCTTCCTTTGCTTCACTTCGTCACTACACAACTTGCGTCCTTTTCGATCTTGACCGCTTAATGTTTCCTTAATTTACTACATAACTTCATTAACTTAAAACCGGAATTCAGTGTAGCACATTTTCCATATACTTTGAAGCGATCCTTTGGAATTCGCACCCACGCATGTAACCTGCAACCCTAACCTACACAGTTAGCATAGTAAGCAGCCGGTCGACTGGTAGATGGACCGACAATAGTCTAAATATTTACAATTCTGATACGATTTTAATGTGTTCGCCACGCGCCATGCCCCTGTTTTTAATTCTCATCTGCATTGTTGTTGCCTTGTCAGTTGTTCTGTATCCTTTGTTTGTTTGCTTGTGTCGAGGCGTGTGTTGTTCGGTCGCTAAGTGTTCCTGTGCCATGTGTATTATCCTCTAACAGTATACATTTCCATCCACTTTTCCCCTTTTGCTTCGGGTAGTTTGTTATTATCTATTTGTTTGTTTGTTTGCTTTGTGTTTTTAAACATTTACTCCTTGTCGTTGCTTACCACTCTGGGAAAGAGTTAATGGTCCAGAACGTGTATGTGAATGACCTCTGGTGGCCAGCTGGTCAGAGGTCAAAGTGTTTGTGTGACTTTTATGTAGCTAATCTGTACAAGCGTAATGTAGTTTTTTGAGCCTAATATACATACATATATATAATATTTTATTGGAGAATCAGGTTAATTAGGTTTATATTTGAAAGAGTATCGGCTTCGACCGAAAATGTGAGTTCGACTTTCTTATAAATTCTTTACCAAACTTACATATGCTGCAGTTCTGTTAAGGGTCTTTTTATTAAAGTGCCCTTAAAAGCTTACAGAAAAACCGTAACAGTTAGATAAATAACTCTCAATTTTGTAGGCCATTCTTTTTGAAAGTAAAAGTATTAGAGATCACATATTTACATACTGGAACTTAAAGGTTTTTGAATTGAAAAATAATTATTAACGCTTTAAAAGGTCAAGCTGAGATATTTGTGATAAAAAGAAAGTACAAGAATTGGATTTGACATATTCGAAATCCTCAGATTGCTTACAAAATGTTTAGTGAGAGTTCCGATTCGAAATTTGGAAATTTTTGATCGAAATTCAAAAAGCTCAACAAATTTTCTGTTAAAACAAGAAAAATATCTACAAAATAAAACTAATTGTTATGAAATATAACTTGAGGCTGAAAATTTGTTATATATCGCTAAGACTTTTTAATGTTGCAAAATTCGAAACCTACATTGCAAAAAATTTATTTATTGAAAAAATCCTTAAAATTAGAGAAGTTATAAAACTTAACATTAAAAAGCTTGAACAGCCTAAAAAGTTTATTAAACTATAAAAAAACACCCAGCATAAAATAAATTCGAAACTTTGGAAAAATTCTAAGGTCCTTTTTAATAATTTCATATTTTAAAAGTAGAAACCAGAGAACAACCCGATAAATTCTCAAGGGAGTTTAAACAAATGCTCTCTTTAATTGGAATTGTTTTTACTTCTGAAGACTAGGAACAACTACAAGTAAAACGATTGACTGACTGCCACAATCTCTTGTCAGAGAGCAGCAGAAAAATACTCGCTAAATTTAGAATTCAACGACTTAAAATGAAGAATTGCATTAAGGCTTTTATGCAATCGCCGACCATATCTCTCTAAATACCAATAACAAATACACTTTGTTTGACAACCAAGGGGCTAAGGATTTTAATTGGCAAAATTTTACTCAAGTTTAATTAAGAATAACACGCCTTACCTTGAAAGTAACTTTTTGTTCTTAAATAACTAACAGACAGCCTTAAAATGCTCAGTCGATCCAATTTGCTGAGAATATTCTGTTCGAATGGCAGCAGCGAGGCCAGCAAATCCAATTCGGCGTTGAGACGTTCGCGATGGCGTTTCGATGGATTACTTTTGGTGACGCCATCCTTGGGCGGTGGCTTTAAACTGTAAGCAAAGTACAAAGAGAGAGCATAAATTAATTATGGAAAAGAAAATTAAATCAATTACATAATCAGTTATTCGAACAAATCAAAACAACAACTTACAAATTAGGGACATGTAGAGAATATCGAAATCCAAAACTTTCTACTACAAGTATAATGCCTTACTTCCTCGACGTTGCTGGGAATTGATAATTGAAATCGTCAATAATGTATGTGGGTAAATTCGAAAATGTTTAAAAAGACTTTTAAAAGCAAACAATGAAATTAAAGCATTACGTGGTAAAAATATTTGTTAAGGGTTTGGCAATTATAAATATCCTAAAGAAAAATTAGGCAACTCACAGCTGTCTTATCAACAAATATGTAGGTACGTATGAGCACCCAAAATTAAAACTGGAAATTTTCGATGGGAAAAACACACACACGGTTGTATTTGATTAGTGGAATCACTTTGCGTCATTGCACTCGATTAAACGCTATGTTGAGAATAGAATAGGAAGTTGGGCTGCTTGCAGATGACGCGGGCAATATGGTCAAGCCGAGCAACAGAAGTGCGGTGGGGGGAGGGTTGCAGCAAGGATGAGTAGCATACATAATTAATAATAGCATTTATTATCTTCATCGATTACGCGCCTGCGGGAAAAGAGGTCAGTCTGTCTTGACACACAGTACAGACGGCGCATAGTTGGTGCCAAGCGTGTATATAGAGCTTGTGGTTGGCTGATTGTTTCGCTACTTGTGAACCAGCTTGTAAAGCAGGGATAAGGGGATTTTAATTTCTGTAAATCGCAGGTATTGACTGAACCACCCTTGGCAGGGGCAGCATTTATTTTTCAATGCGTAACTACAGAGCATAGCAAACGTACAAACAACAACAACACATTCAAAAGATATTCAGTTGACCGAGCCAAAACGGAATGTAGCCACATAAGGCACAGCCAGGGGTTAAAATCGATTAGCCATGCCCACTTGATCCCATAATTACAAATGTAGGTGGGGGAGGTGAGGTGCTGCCTGTGGCATAAACAAGCGAAAACAACGTAGCAAAATCATAAGAAGACGACGTTAGCCGAGGAGTCGACACATTAACTGGTGGGAGAAAATCGCTAAGAAAATGAATAACGAAAATAAGAGAGTTTGATACAAAAACAAAAAAATATAACAAAAAAATTAGGAGTTGTGTGAGATTCCGCTGAGCAAGCGCTGCTATCCGACCGTTGGCAATGAGTTTTGCACAAAAACAATGCTCACTGTGTGAAATCAATAGACAGATAGACAACTTGGAAGTCAGCTCTGGTACAACGACAAAAGCAATGCCAAAACCGAAAGCGGAAAAGAAAACGAAAGAAAAACTTTAATGAGGCAAAATGTGAGAAACGGTAATTTCGGGGAAGAAAAATTGTTGTACAGCGGCACATATACATACTTACATACATATATGAATATATAAAATGTATATAGCCATGTGCATGTTTTTGTAAATTTATAAGTCAGATAACTTATAAATATTTTATGCCAACCGTAATTGCGGTCTTTTTAAGTAGGAGCAATGTAGTAGTTCACGAATGAAATCGAAAAATTACCTCCTGACTTCTTTCTTGCATTTAAGAATTGTATTTTACTGTTGTTTTTCTTCATTGTTTTTGTAAAAAATAGATTTTTGATTGTAGTGCCGTAAACTGATAAAAAATATCAAATACGCATAATAAAGATTTGAATAACAATAATTTAAAATTTTGCCTTCTGCTATTGTGAGAAGGACTTCCATATATGAATTATATTGTTTATTTTTATTAAAAAAAAATATGCTTCAACTTTTGCTCCCAGCTATAAACTGAATCGAACAAACAACTGGTATAAATCTCATAAACTGGCATAAAATAGGAATAGAATAGCAAAAAGTTATACCACTTTAATAAGGTATCTACATGCCCATTTTTATTGAATTCAACTGAAATACATGAGCTCGAGAATAATGAGCGGAGTATTGGCACAAAAAAGTAGCTGGAAACTACATATAATCTTGAAATAAAAAAAATTTAAATGCAATGACTGAAGTGGTCGTAGAGCTGCGATTGTTTTTTATTTCGGTAGTACTTTTCAATTTTCAATATAATACTTGCAATGTAATAAGACAGTGAGCAAAACCTGTATATTTGATGGAATCTGGGATAGTGCCTCTTACGCATAACGTGTCTACCGTTATGATTATTTCGAGAAAACTTATATGAAGTGATCTATGTATACAAAAATTCTATTGATTGCATCCCATTATTTTGGGAAATAATACTGATGTTAGTCAGAGCTTGGTTTATTGGCATCCCGAGGTTATTGAAAACTTTCGTGCGATTTTGAATTATTTTTATTACTTAAAATAGATTTATGTCAATGATTTTAGTGTTTGCCCAATAAGGACCAAAAGTTTTCAAAAAAATCACTTCATTTTTATAATAATTTTGCATTAAGAATTTTTTTAAAAATTGTTATAGTATTTTTATATGACTATGAAGTCATCAAATCAAAAATAGAGTTTTTAGTCAGTTTTGCAAAATTCACAAGAAGCTATGACGTTCTCCGACCTATAATATCGACTTGAGCCATTATACGAAATTTCCGAACTTTAGTATTTTAAAATATATTTATACAACCAATTTAAATAAAATTTATAGTTACCGTGACCACAAAACTGTACTTTTACTCAAGTACATACGTATGTAGCTTTTAAAATGACTATATGTTCATGCATTACCAAAATTTATACCTTGTACTGTATTTAGATACATATTATATATACATATATATGATTCATACAGTTATTTAACTAAAATATTTACTCGAAAATTGTTCTTTAGCAATGATTACCTTATAATTAGGACGGTATGCAGAATATATCAAGAGAAATTGTGTATGTTGGAATGCGCATACACGCATTCATATGTACATCCATACTGCAGAGAATTCGAACCACCACAGACATGTATGCATATAAGTATGTAGACACAGACGCATACAAAACGGAGTAATAAAAAATTTTTGTTTCAAGAAAGTAACAAATCAATGCAATTTATTTAATTAAATGAAAAAACGTGATCGAATAAAAATTAATAGCATTGCAGCAAGATCAACTGTAATTTTAGAGTTCGGAAAGAGAAAGATTCGTAGAATTAATGTATTTTCGCCACGAAGTCATAAAGATTAAAACAAATGCAAAATTGATACTTAGTTGCACTAAAGTGAGGTAAAAGACAATAATTGGCAAATGAATGGGCGAAAGACGAGATTAGATAATTTCAGTGAAGAAGCAAGACAGAAGAGCTGGGAATTCTAACATACACATGCACACACAGCCACAAACAAATGCTTGTATGAAAACATATTCATATATGGTACATAAATAATAAGAGAGAATTATAGCGGAGCAAAAGCGAAGTTAAATGGTAATTGTAGGTCATCAGCTGTTGGAGAATCGGCAATGAAACCGTTAGCTAATTGAGAGAATTCAATATGTGCCAAATACAGCCGGTTGTTGTGATGTGAGCTTAACAGAAGTAAGGTAGAACTTAAGAGTTATGTGTACTTTACGTTTCCTAATTTATATGGAGAAGTGTTTTCGCTCTTCTTATAGCTACATATGTATGTATGTGATTGGTTGACGTTCTATGCTAATCGATATAAAACAAAGCCGTATGCTCACTCGTTAACACATTGTGCCCGAGTTAAGTTTGAGATATCTTAATGGAATTTCGCATAAAAGAAAAAATTTTATTGAAAATATAGTAGAACTATACACATATTCGAACATCCGTTACTCGGATAAAGTTGGATAAAAGCTGGGTTACATGAATTTTCGGTTGATGACCGATTTTGTAATTATTTAAGATATCCGGATTTAGAAATTTCCGCTTAATATTTACATTTTCGAAAGCTATGGTACATATTTTTTCTTTTTTCTTTTGAATTAACCTTATTGCTATTTTGGAACAGACCTTAGTGTGTATACTACAATAACTTCCACTACCTATTTCATTATTTCTGACAATCGATTATCTAGGTACTACTACAATTGTTACAAGCATATTTGGTGAACGCTCTTAGAACGGTATTTTTCGAAAATATATGAATTATCATAGCAAAACAGTGGAAATGTCTCAAATTTGGTATAAAATTCGTTACAACTTTAAATCATAACAAATATTTGAAACTGTCTATTCTGATACGACTGAACCTTAGCAAGTATAAAAATATAATATATACTTTTTTTATATTCAATAATACTCAGCCTTCTTCCCTAATATCCTAACACATGTCCAATAATCATATATTTATTTCCCAAACTGCCAGGCACTCCTCAAAAATATTACCGTTAATAATTTCGACTGCATTTCGAAACCAAAACCGCCATTGAGCCGTGGCTCACACCCTAATTCTCGCTCCTACTCGTCACAATCCGCTCATTCGACAACGTTGTGTGGCACCGTTACTGCAGTCTGCGGCATAAATAATTTACTACTAAATTAAGGTTTGCTTTACAAAAACAACAATAATGGCAGAAATGAAAGAAAAACAACAACAACAATAAAAACAAGTCGAGAATATTGCGGCTCATTTTTATTTCGGGGGTTGTATAAAATGTATAATTTTCTTATTATCTATAAAAGTTCGACGGCAACTACAACAAAAACAACAACAATGTATGCAGCAACTAAGGAAGGATAGTAAGTAACAACAACCGAAAACTGCACTAAAAATGAATGGAGAAAAAAGTTGAAAAATACAATGTGGAATTGTTTGTAAGCGCCAAACAAAGAAATCGTACAAGAATGTCGAAATTGAAGGACACAAAACGCTGTAATTCATTCTCTAGTTATTATACTTACAAAAAAAATATTCTTATTATACAAGTATACGCTCATAAAGATATATAATATGTAAGTATGAAATAAAAAAATATCTTGAAAAATATGCTTTAACGATACTATTTTTAAAGTGGAAAGCATTGTA